GTGCTTAATCCGACGGATTTGCATCCGTATCAGATTAGATCGGATTTGCATCCGCACGCATCTTGGCCGCATGCAAATAAAGGAAGTTATCGAATCAACACCAATCAACGTGTCCGTCCCGTAAATAATCGAGATTTTGGAGCTCACGTGAGCATGCACCGCCGTTCTAGCTGCTTCATCTACATGGACACCATGCGTAACACGCCGAGCCGCCAAGCGAGCCACGCCGAGCCACAAGCGAGCCACGCCGACCACGCCGAGCCGCCGTCAAAGCGAGCCACGTCGACCACGCCGAGCCGACTAGCGAGCCACGCCAAACGGCTCCGCCGAGCTCGACCATATCTTCCTTGCTCGCGGTGAATTATTGGAACTACAGATCATGCAAGCTAATTAAACGTTGAGGCTTATATACATGTATACATGCAAGGATGCATCTATCGTGCATGCAAACATCTCGCATGTACCTCTCCCCACGTGGTGGACTTCATCAAGCTACTCCGTAATCTTCACGCAAGCAAGGAAGATCTCCGACTACGCCGACCACGGACCACGCCGACCACGCCCCAAGCAGCTCCGCCGAGCCTCACCACGCCGACCACGGACCACGCCGACCACGTCCCGAAGCGGCTTCCGCCGAGCTCCACCACCTCGACCACAAGACTACGTCGCAATGATGATGGCCATGAAGAACGGCGCCTCGACAATCGTGACCACAGGTCAAGACGACAATTCGAAAGCTCGAGGACCGGACAACTTCATCGCCAACGACACGCCAAGCCATCTCTCGAACATCGCAACACGCCCGACTACACCCACCGGCCGTCAATAAAGCTAAGTATTATTTTTAATTGAAATTTTCTTCGATCATCATATACCTCCGCCGACCACCCTTAGGGTAGCGCTCGCGTCGAATTTTCTCCATACATACAATCCAAAACATGTATAAGTTTTTACAACGGTTCGCCGACACGCTTTCCTTCCCGCTTGAGAATCCTGAGCCAGACTGCCTCCGGCTCCACCTCACGCGTGCATGAGAGTCCGCCCTCTGCCACGGGTAGTCGGCGAATCGCTCCTGGTAACATCGGCACTCTACGCGGCGGCATTGCCTTACCTCAAGCGCCACGAGATGTTGGTCACCCAGTGTATCGGCGCATTCTTTAGGACAAAGTTAATACATCATTCGCCTCGCCTCTACATAACAAAAGGGCTAAAATAGCTAATGTTATTTTTCAATATTACACCAAGTATAATTCATCGCCAACCGAACACCAAGTGTTTACTTCACCTCCTATAGAGAGGTCAATATATTTCGTACACCATCATGTACTACCGCTCTCCGTGTTTATTTTTCAGGAACACAGTTCGGTCAGCGAGCTCATGCTTCAGGGTTCGCCAAGACCCCTACGGTGCTCGAGGACTCTGGCCAGGCCACGCTCGTCTCGGGGACTCTGGCCAGACCACGCTCGTGCTCGGAGACTCGCCAGACCACTCCGTGCTCTGGGACTTCTCGCCAGACCACTCCGAGCTCCGACCATGTCGATCACATCTCGAGCAGCTCCGCTGAGCTCCGACCACGTCTCGGAGACTTCGTCGCTCGCTCCTCGACCTGTGCTCGGGGACTGCCTCGACCACGGCTCGGGGACTTCGTCGCTCGCTCCTCGACCTGTGCTCGGGGACTGCCTCGACCACGGCTCGGGGACTTCGTCGCTCGCTCCTCGACCTGTGCTCAGAGACTTCGTCGCTCGCTCCTCGACCACATGCTCGGGATCGCCGACCACGGCTCGGACTTTCGTCGCTGCCTCCTCGACCTATGCTCGGGACTACCTCGACCACGGCTCGGGACTTTCGCTCTCTCTCCTCGACTGTGCTCGGGGACCGCCTGGACCACGGCTCGGGACTTCGTCGCCGCTCCTCGACCTATGCTCGGGACCGCCTCGACCACTCTCCCACCACGGCTCGGGGACTTTGCGTCTCGACTACATGCACACGAGTAACTCGCATATACGATTGGGGATATTCTTTCTCATTTAGACCTTGCTACAAGGCTCATACCTCCTTTCCAAAGAAGCTCGGGGACTACATCGGTGCGATGCACCGCCGGCAGCATCTTGTATCGCTGCATTGACGCTGGATTCTCAACATAATCGAATTCTTTTAGACCACGCACCACGCGTGCCTCGCCACCTACTACCGTGCTCGGGGGACTAAGTGGGCACACTTCACCTTGCGGTGAATGTGTTTGTTTTTCACCCTTACGCCTCGATGATCAAGGATGCTACGCCTCAAGATCCACTTACATTTCTTTTCAGAAATACAAGTGGGCACACTTCATAGGACGGAAATCTTTTTCTTTCTTCTTAAGAGCACCATACATTCTTCGGACAACCTACTTCTCCGGCGACAACGGTGGTCGGAGATGTCAAGAACTCAAGCCTCACTGTTCGGAGAAGGTTGAAATGGCGTGTCGCATCAGAATACATGGCGCTCGGGGACTAGCTGTGGGGGATATACCCCCGGGTACCACAAGATGGTACATGGGCCGCACCATCCGAGGTGGCCTAGCCCGTAATATCAAGACGTGCATAGCAAGATTACAAGTTGTACTAGATATTGTGATAGTACCAAATAGGATACTTTACTTGTAACCCTCCTCCGTAGAGTATATAAGGAGAGGCGGGGGTCCCCTCGAGGGAGCAGATCCAAGCAGATCATACAATATACATCTCAATACAATACACCAAAGACACGGGGGATTTAGGGTATTACGTCGACCAGACGGGCTCAACTCGTCTAAATCATTGCCTCTCGCGCCTTGTGTCACCATCTGGTTCCAGATCACACGCATCCTACTGATAATCTACCACCACGGCACCCCCCTGGATGGATCCACGACCATATTTCGTCGACACGCCACGGGGAGGGACCAACATGGGCGCCACGAGGAGGGCAGCCCACATGGGGAGGAGAAAGCACACGGGGAGGAGGAGGAGGGATCCACGGCCAGAGAGAGAGGGAGGGAGGGGCGGGGGAGGGAGGGCGCGGGGGATGCGGCCTGGCCGGTGGGTGATGAAGGCGACGGCGAGGCGGCGTGGGTGGCGGCGGCGGGCGGGATTTTGGGAGGGGGCGGGCCGAGCGGATAAGAGGCGACGTTTTTTTTTTTTTTTTTTCTTCCTTTGCCGATCGCCAAACATGTGACGCAATGGCCTTGAAGGTCTATTATTTTTTTTTTCAAAATTTTTTTTTTAATTTTTTAAAAATATTTTGCCGATCGCTTCTGCTCCCGGCAAATGGCAAAGGTTATTTTTTTTTTTTTCTCGAAATTCTTTTGCCAACCGCCATCCTCCCTAGCGATCGGAAAGGCTCTTCTCATTAATCGCCATCGATGGCGATCGGCAAAAAATTAATTTTTTCTTCGATTTTCGATCCCAGTTTTTGTGTTGCCTTGCTACAGTAAGTACATGATATATTCCAAGTTTGGGGTCATTTTGATTTATTTTGCTATATTCCATTGATTTTTTTACTGCTTTTGATTTTTTCCGCAGCCTCCAGTTTTGAACTGCAGGTACATGAAATAATGGAATCCGGCGATTTAGAAAATGATATTCATGATGTTTGGAGTATGTTGAGGCCGTGTCTTGGGCCTCGCGTGAAATTCGGCCCGTGTTGGTGTTTGAACACTTGCTACCACGCCAGCGTGAAAAAAAGTGTTTTAAATTTTATAAAATCGAAACGGAGTCCGAAAATGACGAAAACTTGACGACGTGTCTTGTCATCGCACGCGGAGGTCAGGGTAAAAATTTGAGAAAGTTTCGAGCAAGTGGCGGCGTCTGGTGGCTAAAACCCGACATGATGTGGAGAAAAAATCTACTAATATAGCAAAATAAATCAAAATGATCCCAAACTTGGAATATATCATGTACTTATCGTATCAAGGCAACACAAAAAACGGGATCGAAAATCAAAAAATAAAATTCTTTGCCGATTTGCCGGGGAGGATGGCGATTATAAAGCTCACGCTTTTGCCGATCATTCGACGGAGTGGCGATCGGCAAAAGGTGACGGTGTGGATGCGTCAACCATGGCCTGCCTTTTGCCGATCGCAATTCTTTGCCAACTGCTCGGCGATCGGCAAAGCCGAATGATCGGCAAATCCTGCTTTGCCGACTGCAGGAAATTCCAGTTGGCAAAGGGACCTCTTTGCCGAGTGTCGAAAAAAAACAGTTGGCAAAGAAAATTGCAGTCGGCAAAGAGCCTGTTTCCTGTAGTGTTACAGCAATTTGGACTATATAAAACCTGCCACTTATTTGGTAGTGTAACATCCAGGCATATGCTGCTGATCAATCATGTTGCACCGTTGGATAATTAAATTTCTACTAGTATATATTTGCCACTTTGTCACCTTGCTCGCGAACGTTAGTTAACGCGGCCTGCTGTCTCCGTTCCCAGTTCTTCCCAGCAACTACTCTCTCCCTCCCAAATTATAAGACGTTTAACTTTTTTGACTTCAAATTTGACCACTCGTCTTATTCAAAAAGTTTGTGCAAACATAGTCAGATTTAAGTCATTCTTAAAAAACTTTTATTAATAAACCAAGCCACGACGAAAGAAGTGATATTTTGCACAGATTTTTGAATAAGACGAGCGGTCAAATTTGGTGTAAAAAAAGTCAAATGTCTTATAATTTAGGATTGATTGAGTACTTACTACGCTTCTCTATGCCGGTGCCAGCACAGATAGACTTACTGTGTACGTATATTAGCTTAATAATTAATTGACCTTGATCCAATTGTACGTAAGCAAACTGCATCCATCGATACGATCGATCTCCCCCAGCAGCTCCATCCATCCATCCCATGCATGCATTTACTATATATACGGTTCGATCGCTCTAGCTAGCTCGATCATCAATCAGATCATCATCCAGCAGGTGATCGGCCAGCTAGCTACTAGCTTGCCATCGTATTATACATACAGAAGCTAGCTAGCTGTGAAGACGAAGCATGATGATGGGGAGGCGCGCCGGCATGGCGGTGGCGGTGGCGGTGGCGCTCCTGCTGGCGCTGTCGTCCTGCGGCGAGGCGTCGGCGAGGGGACCGATCAGGAGACCCCGCAAGAAGACGCTGCCGCCAGGGCAGAAGCCTCCGCCAAACTCCAAGTTCTTCCCCATCACCCCCGGCAGATTTGGGCACAAGCGCAACTACGAGGCCTCCTGCGCCGACGAGAACGGTCCGTCCTGCTACGTCGGCTGCCCTTCCGATTGCCCAAACTCCTGCCTCGTCTTCTGCGACTACTGCCTCGCCTTCTGCCGTACGTCCGTCGATCCCGACCAAGTTTAGCTAGCTAGCTAGCAGTAAAAATGTCACTCACTTACGCACACCGTACCGTATATATATATACCCTGCATGCAGCTTGTGACATCTTCCCGGGCACCTCCTGCGGCGATCCGCGCTTCACCGGCGGCGACGGAAACACCTTCTACTTCCACGGCAAGAAGGACCAGGACTTCTGCATCGTCTCCGACGCCGACCTCCACATCAACGCCCACTTCATCGGCAACCACAACCCGGCCCTCAACCGCGACTTCACCTGGGTGCAGGCGCTGGGCGTCACCTTCGGCGACAACCACCGCCTCTACGTCGGCGCCCGCAGGGCCGCGGAGTGGGACGAGGACGAGGACCACATCCAGGTCACCTTCGACGGCGAGCCCGTCGACGTCGACGCCGTCCGCAACGCGCGCTGGGCGTCCAGGGCCCTCCCCGGGCTCTCCGTCAGGCGCACCAAGGACGTGAACGCCGTCGCCGTGGAGCTGGACGGCGTCTTCTCCATCTCGGCCGGCGCCGTGCCCATCACCGAAAAGGACGACCGGATCCACAAGTACGGCAAGACGGACCGCGACAGCCTCGTGCACCTCGATCTCGGATTCCAGTTCCATAACCTCACCGACCACATCGACGGCGTGCTGGGGCAGACCTACCGCCCTGGCTACGTCACCAAGGTGAACATCAGCGCCAAGATGCCCATCATGGGCGGCGCACCCAAGTACCTGTCCGAGGGCCTCTTCTCCACTGATTGCGCCGTCTCCAGGTTCCACTGCAGCGACTCCATTGCCGCTGCCGGCGCCGTCACCACATATGCCTCTTAAAAATACACACTCCTCTTCATGGCGGCGAGCCGCTCATCCGTCAACCGTGCGTGCCGCCATGCATGAGGAAGACGAAATAATTAAGAATGAAGCCAGCCCAACAATTAATAGACTCCGTCGTCGTCGTCCTATGTACTCTCCTACCGTGTAAGCAAGAAATAATTAAGCGTACGTTATTAAGTGATCATTCCGTTGATCAAAAATTTATTATTATGTAAGGAGCTCAACAAATTGAATTGTGATACTCGTTTTCCATGCATGCTACTACTCTTTGCTACTCTTTGTGGATAATTTGTTATACACCACTGAGATACACTATGTCTAAATACATACCAAAAGTTATGTTGCCAGAAAAAACAAAACTACTTATATTCAGAATGGAGGAAGTATATGACATGCATTTGGTTATTGCATGTGAACTAAGGATTGTTTCGATCCTACTGAGATTATAATAGTCGGCTTTTACAGTCGCCAATCCGACTTATCCTCATTGAAATGTAAGTTCACATACATACATGAATGTGCAGAAGTTTAGAACGAAATAAAACTTGGATGAAACATTCATAGCGTTGCTTCCAAGACTGCTATGTCTTATAGAATAAAATAAAATTTGGATGAAACGCACACTCTCAATGGGAAGTTCCATTTTATGGTTTCATAGACATTTAATTTCATGACTCATGGAGAGTTGGTAATTGTGCCAAGAGAGTTTCATCCCCATAAACCTCACTCCTCTCTCTTAAAAATGTCATCAAAAGCGTTTACGTGGCACCTTATTAAATGCAAATGAAACTGCCATTGAGACTGGCCTAAAAGATGAATGGAGCTGAAACGACTCCCCTTCTTCAACCTTAATTACCCTTGCTTCCCAAGTAGGTTTATGTGAATGTGCACCCCGATGATTGCTAGGGGAGATAAAGGGGAGGAGGAAAGGGAATGAATAGAAAGGGAGGGAGGAAGAACAAAGGGTCAGAGGCAAAAATGACATTTTACCCCGCAAACCGCAAATGGACATTTTAATAGGCGTGATGTCCGGTAACAAATTTGTCACAAATCAAAGTGTTGACTAGCCAATTAGTTTTTTCTCATTGTCCACAGGCAACATGGCATCACTTTCGGTGTTTTGTAGAATTTTTTTGCTAGCCTTAATAAGGCCTTACTAATAGTGTGATCATCTCCCGATTTTCACCGAACTTCACCAATGATCTTATTTTGTAGGTATTTGTTCCTAAGAAGTTCTTCCGAAACCTATATAGACACTTATTAAGAATAATTAAGCAAAAAAATCTGACTTTCAAGATTCCTATACAACGTTGTTGTTTTGGTCAAAAAAAACTTTCCATTTCATCAGTCTAATTTTTTTCTTAAGGTTACCGCCTTTTCCAAAAAAGGGAGATTTATGAAGTCTAATTTCTTATTAATACCTTTTTGATACTTCAAAGAAAGACATCATAAATATAGAAAGACTACTCAAAATTAAACAAAGTTAATCAGGACTAGTTGTCTTCCAAGGCAAAACACCTTCCTTTCTAGCCACTCTTTTTTCCTCAAAAAATGCTCTTCAACCGCTTTTCAATCTTTATTATTCAACCCTTTTGTGATTCATTGGTATACCCGATACTAGAAGCAAAACAAGTCAATTTTGTGAAACTTATTTTTTAAGAAAAAAACTAAAACTTGCTCATAAACACATAAAATAATTTTGATACTAGTTGTTTGCTTCAAATTGTGCTGAATGAATACAATACCATGTCATAAGCATGTTGGAAAATCAAAATACCATTAATCTTCCTAATGTGGGAGCAAGCTATATATCCTTGATGGGGGCGGGGCATGCCGGATTCAGACGCGAGGAGGGTTGATTCGGGGTAGAGAGGTAGGAGGTGAATAGGTGATGAGAGAGAGAGAGAGAGAGAGAGAGAGAGAGAGATGTGAGAGTTGGGTGGGCTAGGTTTTTAGTGGCCCGGGGACTCGTTAATTAATAGCCTCAGTAAATCAGTTTTAGGATGTGCTAGTTTTTTTACTGTCTCCATAAATAACAGACTGTCTCTAGATTTTAATGTGCATTTTTAGAGACCAGTATAATTCTCGACCATGCATCTTTGTAAATAAAAGAAGATGCTTTGTTTTCTGAAATTAATTAGTTTTGCAGTGGTGGTGACAGTGGAGCCGGGACATAGCTAGCTAGCGTCGTGTCGTCCGCGCTGGCCGGCCGAACCAGTCAGCATGCGTGGACAAGAGCGCGCTTGTCTCTGCAGCTAGAGCTTGAGCTTTCCTTGCTGCTCAAGGAGCCGCTAGCAGCTACTAGCAGCTAAAGAAAGAATAGCCAGATAAAGGAAGCCTGGATTGCTTGTTCTCGACTTGTGCTGGCTTTTAACTTGTTTGAAATACGGCCACTTGAAACTGGCATACACTCACATCTGTGTAAGTTGGGGAGTATTTCTAATCCTGGCCGTGGCCGTGGTGCTTGTGAAGAAGATAAGAAGGAAATGCATGGCGTTTACTTGTGGTAGCTTGGGCGACATGCACGCTGCAAGTAGCAACAGCTAATAGCAGTAGTAGGAATCCTGCTAGTACGTTTGCTTATTAGGATGTTGCTTGTACCGTCTGGCGTCTGTACAAACAAGGGATCGGAATGGAAGCACGCGTAGTATATGCATGTAAAAAGTCATGTATGCATTTGCTGAGGCGGGACTCAAGGGATGCATGCATGCATGCACTTCCGATCCCCATGCACGATCCCTCCGTGTCAACGTCAACGGCTCAATGCAACGCGGCACATTTCTGTATTTGCTGAGGCGGGACTCAAGGCAGCAGGCCAAAGGAACCCCAGCTAGCTAGCTAGCTTGTATCGCACACGTTTCTGTACTATATATAAGCTAGCTTCAGCTTTGGCTGCGAGGCAGAGCATATATAAGCCTGTACTGTACCTGGCGGAGAAGGAAGAAAAGAGATCTATCTCCATCGAGCGAGCAGTAGTAGCCAGCAGCGTCGTAGCACGTCCTGCGGGCTGCTGTGTCGTCTAAGCCGGCCATGGCAGCGAGCAGCAGTCGTATGATGAGCTTGGCCCTGCTGCTGTGCATGGCGGCGTTGGCTGTGATGATGCAGTCCGCTTCTTCTCAGGGCATCCCCAGCCTCACCGTCGGCTCCAACTCTCTTGCCACCACTCTCAAGTGCACCAACACCAAGACCAACAAGACCACCTGCAGCGCCACCTGCAACAAGCGATGCCCTCGCAAGTGCCTCATCCAGTGCCCAAGCTGCAAGACATTCTGCTGTATGTGTCGCTCAGTGTTGATCGTTTACATTGGCCATTTTTTTGTTGGTTTTAATTTGTAGCCATGCATATGCATGCAGTGTGCGACTTCTACCCCGGCGTCTCCTGCGGCGACCCGCGCTTCACCGGCGCCGACGGCAACAACTTCTACTTCCACGGCAAGAAGGACAAGGACTTCTGCATCGTCTCCGACGCCGGCCTCCACATCAACGCCCACTTCATCGGCAAGCGCAACCCGGCCATGAGCCGCGACTTCACCTGGATCCAGGCGCTCGGCATCCGCTTCGCGCACCACCACTTCTACGTCGGCGCCGCCAAGACGCCCAAGTGGGACCCCTCCGCCGACCACCTCGCGCTCGCCTTCGACGACGAGGACCTCGACGTCGCGTCCCAGCTGCCGCGCTTCGTCGGCGCCCGCTGGTCGCCGCCCACGGCTCCCGCCCTGTCCGTCACCCGCACCGCGCGCGTCAACACCGTCGTCGTCGAGCTCAGGGGCGTCTTCCGCATCGTCGCCAACGTCGTGCCCATCACCGCCGAGGACTCCCGGATCCACAACTACGGCGTCACCGACGACGACAGCCTCGCGCACCTCGACCTCGGCTTCAAGTTCTACGACCTCACCGACGACGTCCACGGCGTGCTGGGCCAGACCTACCGCCCGGACTACGTCAACAGGCTCAACGTCACCTCCAAGATGCCCGTCATGGGCGGCGCGCCGGACTACCTCTCCTCCGACCTCTTCTCCACCGACTGCGCCGTCGCACGCTTTGGTGGTGGACGCCACCAAGCAGGAACCACCGCCGCCGTTAATATTGCCATGGTCACCGACGACATGGAATAAATAAATACTCCTTTATGTGTACTGCGTCTTAGACGTACGACCATCGGATCTTGATCGATCGTTTCCATCTTTCTTCTACACTGGAGAAGAAGAAGCAGCAGCAGCAGCAATAACCACAGTTATATATACAATTAATTGGTATCGAAATATACGACGACGGCAGCATATATATGTTTATGCATAGAACCGATTGAAATTATATTCAATAAATAAGGCTTATAATATATATTATTATACTCGTAAATATATAGTATATATGAGCCGCATCGAGTTTGCATTGGCAGCTGCTTCAATTTTCAATCCTTGTGTCTTCAACATTAATTATTGTTAATTATTCGATCAGTTACATGTGCTTAGCTGGAGCGTACGCATGTACACTCAAATTTTATCTGTATAATAACCCATTTATATTTGGTTTAATTTATTCATTATTACCTTTTTAAATTTAAATAGCTAAGTTTGAGCCACCACTTCCATCCTTTGGTCCCGGCACTCAATTTTATCCCGCAACTTTTCAAAATGGCTGTTTCAATACTTTTGGGCTCACTATCATCCTCTGTCCGGGTGATTGTTTTAGTACTCAAACTTTATTTTTGGGCTCAATTTCGCCCTTGAATTAACATTGTGCGTCTCTTCTCTATAAGATGAATCGTGACCGTGGCATCGGGCTGAAATTGAGCGCTCGTAGGGCCACGTATACAGTAAATATCAGCCGTTCGATTGCTCTCCTATTTTGATCCAACGGCTAGAGCACGAGCCAGCGCTAGGGTCGTCGTTTCCAATGCCTTCCTGAAAAAGTGCCGTGGTACACGATGTTATGTGGGGCCACCAGTACCGACGTAGGCCGAGTATCCAGGGGCAGAAATCGCCGGCACCAAGTGG